TATTTGTCCTACTATTATTTGTCCTACTATCATTTGTCCTACTATCATTTGTCCTACTATCATTTGTCCTACTATCATTTGTCCTACTATCATTTGTCCTACTATCATTTGTCCTACTATCATTTGGCCTAATTTGTCCTACTATCATTTGTCCTATTATCATTTGTCCTACTATCATTTGTCCCACTATCATTTGTCCTACTATCATTTGTCCTACTATCATTTGTTCTACAATCATTCGTCTCAAAATCAATTGTGTTACAACTATTTGTCTTGCAATTAAGGTAATATGTAATTTGTCCTACAAACAATCATCCTATCATTATTTGTTCTACGTGCAATTATCCTATCATTATTTGTTCTACGTGCAATTATCCTATCATTATTTGTTCTACGTACAATCATCTTATCAATATTTGTTCTACGAACAATCATCCTATCAATATTTGTTCTACGTACAATCATCTTATCAATATTTGTTCTACGTACAATCATCCTATCAATATTTGTTCTATGTATAATCAAATGGTTGTATACAATTTTTAAGCCGGCGCTCAATTAAAACCGATTTTACTTTTGGGGGATTTGATACGTGGCCTAAATTCATTAAATTCGGACACAAAGCGCTTAAAGCAGAGATTAACGGTTTCTTAGAGAATAGTTTTGGAGTTGGCATCATTAAAAAGCGTCTTATTACGGAATTGAATTTAGAGGCGCATATATTGTCCAGCGGAAAAGAGCTTAACCTTTTCTGACAATCCCTGGGGCTGAATTTACTCTGGAAATAATAGTTTGTTCTTCTCCCTGGGATGTTCTCTCAGATAAATTTGAATAAATAAACAAAGATCTGAATAGCATTATCTAGGCCTTAATGGAGATTAAAACTGGATAAAGTCAATTTAAAATTTATCCCCATGAAAAATATTAATTTGTATTATGTTATGCTCTGAGGAACCACTTTTACATATTCTTATAAGCAATAGTAGATTAGGGAGATGATGATGATAATCTGAGTTGAAAAGTCTTGTATTGGATACCCTTATCACTAATGTTTAAATCTTTCTATCCACTGTCGACATTTTTGATTTTATGATTTATCTCCTCCAGGAGTCGCCGGCTTGATTGCAACCAATGAGTTCTCTCATTGATTTCTCCCCAATAATTTAAGTTCTTGGCTTCCAATTGGCTGTTCAAATATTACAATCAACACTGATTGGTTGAATTTTATACCTTTTCCTGGATACAAACAATAGATTAAATTAATTGTGTATTAACAAAAAGATGAGATCAAGCATTGATCTTGATATCCACAATTCTAAAGTTTTCAGCTCTTATCACGGAGGATATTTTACCATATCCAGCTTATCAAACACCCTATTAACTATGTTTAGTGTGTGTTTGGTTATATTTTTAATTGTCGACCATTAGGACCAGGCCCGTAGCTAGGTGGGGGGGGGCATAGGGGTATTCCCTCTTTCATCACTGAAGGGGGGGGGGGCACAAGTGGGGCACACTTTCTGAGACCAAAAAGAAAAAATGAAAAAATGAAAAGAAGGAAACGAAAATATAAAGAAAGAAGGAAATTATGTGTAAAGGATTATTTTTACTCCGAATTAAAGAAAAATTGATTGATTTCTGATATAAATTATTTGGGAACTTTTATTTCTATCCTGTCTTGTGAAATGATATGGTTTAAACCAATGAATGTAAGGCAAGGAAAGTCAATTGCTGTTTTGTATACTTTGTGTACATATTAGTGTTTATATTAGAACCCAAAGACAGTACACTGCAGTACTAAAAATGCGTACACCACTGAAATGACTTTCCTTGCCTTACATTCATTGGTTTAAACTATTTTGCTTTGTATTCAGATAGACTTATACTTTCCCTTCTTTTATTAGATTAATAATTCTAATGAACTTTCGTACAGCAAAAACTAAAAATTAATATGGAATCAATTTGAATTATATACTATATACAATAAAAATGACTTTGTAAAAATCCAGGAGGGGTACACCCCCGCTCCTAATTTGACTCAGGGGGGGGGTACTTGACTACCCCCCCTGAAACTGTCCTTGTTTGCATGACACACTCACATAGGCAAGGTTCTTTGCTACGGAGACGACATTTTCCATACATTGAAGTGCATCCAGTGTAACCAACCTTGCAGAATGCGGATGTAATAAAATAAAATAAAATATTTAAAAGATAGGAAAGAATGGGCTGCCCAAGTCTAGGGGTATGAGATATGGACAATACAAAACAGTGTGCAGTACAGTTGCCAGGATCTAGGAAGCCAATACTAGGATTGATAATATTTTTTAATTAATATAGTAATACTATTATTAGATCCTAGACTACAATAGAACTAAATCTAAATTATTTTATGTTTATTTTTCTAAATGCTAGCCAATAATTAGTGGGAAAATTAGCGTTTTATAAAGAGGTCTTTAATGGCCTCCCCCCCCCCCCCAAAAAAAAATCAGCCAATAAATACATATATACATGTATGAGTGAAGCGCTTTATTTGATACTAGACTAGCCGAAGAGCCAGGCGTTGCCCGTAAAAAAAAATTTATTTTGAAAAAAAAATGTATTTTTGAAAATAAAAATGTCGAATTTTTTTCGCCTATGTCATCTCCCGGCTACCCATGTATGTCTACAAAAAATTCAGCCCATTCGGTCCAACCATTCAGTCGGCCAGAGGGAACATATATATTAATGTCTTGTTTTATTATATAGATTAACCCCTAAGATATTCAATGTTAAACCCGAGGGCGTACATGTTAGTATAAATAATATTTTTTAATCGAAACAAAAATATTTTTGGGATGGGTTTTCTAAATAATATGAATTAACTCTGTGTGTATTGTGCACATGGGAGAATGTGGTTTTTATGTGAACCTATCTCTCCCTCAATGATGACTTGCAGTATCTTGAATTTAATCCTGGAAAATGAGCCGGCACTTTATTTGCTGAACTTGCAAATTGCCCGTTTTGTTCAATGTTTAAAAATCGAAAAAAAATTATATTTTTTGTAAGTTTCCCTAGCGTTCCCCGAGGGTAACATTAACGCTAAAATAATTTTTTTCAAAAATGAATTTTATTTTAATTCCAAAAAAAATGTTCAAGTGTTTGGGTTTTCAGGCAGAAAGAAAATAATTATGAATTATTATGAAAGAAAATGTTACGTCGAACTAAAGTTTAAAATCTCATTTGAAACTTTAAAGCCGAGTTCTTGAAAAGATCAAAAATGTTTTAAATTTCTCACTTGTTTAAACTTCCTTTTCTCAAACTCTTAGATAAACTCAAAAGTGGAGGTGTAGCGATGGCACAAAGCCCTACAATAAATGTAACCTTCTCCTTCTGTCAAGTTTACGGTCCTCCAGGGGAATTTCAGTTTAGTCTATAAGTGGTTAAATTGTTTTGTTTTTTATATTTACCAAATCGATAAACAAACTGTGGTGTGGACAGGGTGACATGTTTAATTATATGTTTATGATTTATCATTAGATTACTGGTATGAATATCAAGTTGATATGTATTCAAGTCATTCAAGGCTTGAAAAATAAAGAAAATAAAGAAATAAAGAAAATAAAGTAATAAAGAAAATAAAAAAATAAAGAAAATAAAGAAATAAAGAAAATAAAGTAATAAAGGAAATAAAAAAATAAAGAAAATAAAGTAATAAAGAATAAAAAGAAAAGAAAAAAAGATAAAGAAAATAAAGAAAAAAGAAAATCATCAAGGGATTTATCTTCTTTAGTTTCTGAAACTGGACCAATTGCTCTCGTACCAGCCCGTCTAAACTATCTAGAAGGATACAGATGAGAACTAGATACCCAGAATACCAGATACTGCCCCATCCTGATATTGGAGACGCTGCTCTTGATAAACAGCTCTTCACATACCTGGTGCACCCAATTGCTCTCGTACCAGCCTGTCTACACTACCTAAAAGGATACAGAAGAAAACTAGGATACTCAGGATACCAGATGCTGCCTAATCCTGATATTGGAGAAGCTGCTCTTGACAGACAGCTCTTCACAAATCCGTTATTGAAGCAGCTGAAGAACAAGATGAACTTGAGACAGAGGACAATGATCGTTAGACAGCTCTTCACGGACCAGTTTTAAGTCCAGCAAATGAAGCAGCTAGGAATGCAGTGGAAGTATCTCAGATTGTAGGAACAGCTAACGTAGCAGAGACTCCTGGACCATCTCCAGTATTAGCTAGGATTACAGTATAAGATTCTCATGAACCAGAGCAGCTGACCAAGACAGTGGAGTTTGAGGAAGCTGCTCAGATGGATTGTGATCCGGAGCAGCAGAACGAGATATTTGAGGTTGAGGAAGCTGCTCAGACGAACACTAAGCTGGAGCAGCTGAACTACGGTTTCCTGGATACCATATAGAGCTGGTTAAACATGAACAACCTTATACAGATGTACTTTACCAATAAATTGTAAAGCTGATAAATCCCATTCATTTATACTCCGAGAGATATCTAGAGAAAGAATATTAAAGGGATCTATAAAAACGAAAGTACGAGGATTCAGAGTGAAATATTTGTGAACACCCTAACCATGGGAGCAAAGGATGGATCTCGAAATCCTTAGGATTTACATCTGGATTGAGATTGATTGAACCCATTAATCAGTAGACTGTTTTGCAAGTTCAAGAATAAGGAGACCTAGTCAAATTTAAAATATTCAAAGTTTTCTTCAAGAGTCTGCAAAATCGATCACCCCTAATGTGAAATGAAACAAACTGAATTTTTTCCCTAGAAAAAAATCTTACTACCGCCAATTGAATGTTTCTAAATGAAATACAAATATTTTATCTTGAAAATTGAATGTTCAAATCTCACCACCACTAACTAACAAGTAACAGAAGCAAACTAATGGTATTTTACAAAGGTAAAACATATAGTACTAAACCTCTGTTGGTCGAATATACCTATCTATCTATTTCGATCTAATCTAATTCATTTTCAGAAAAATGTTAAACATATCTTGTTACACTGACTGTTCTAGTATTAATACAACATCTTGCGAATTCTTTCCCCCACCAGATCCAGTCAATGATACAGTAAGCTCTAATTTTCTAATCTTCTAATCTTTTAATCTTCTAATCTTCTCATTTTCTCATTTTCTAATCTTCTAATTTTCTAATCTTCTAATCTTCTAATCTTTTAATCTTCTAATCTTCTCATTTTCAAATCTTCTAATCTTCTAATCTTCTAATCTTCTAATCTTCTAATCTTCTAATCTTCTAATCTTCTAATCTTCTAATCTTCTAATCTTCTAATCTTCTCATCTTCTAATCTTCTAATCTTTTCTTTAGTCCATTCTTGGATATTTTTACGAATTTAGATAAATAAATAATTTAATCATAAGCTTAAAAAAAGATTAAACTAAGCCTATTTTATCATAAAAACGTTTTGCTTGGTTAATGAATGAGTGTGCAAAACACTTAAGAATTTTAAGAATAAGAATTGGTTCTTAAGAACAAAACTGAACTGTTGAATTCTGGATTTCGATAAATGAAAATTCTTAAAATTTAATATTTCTTCCAAACATTTTTGAATTCAACTTAAATAAAGCTGTAAAAGAAGTTTTTCGTGAACTCTAATGGGACTGTTAAAGGGATAGCAAGCGAAATCTTAATGGGAGTGTTCGCGAAAAATAATCGCTTTTGATCGCTACTAATCTTACTTCTATCTGTTGCGTCTATAAGGAGAAAATGGTTAAACAAGATTTCCACCGAAGAACGCAGCGCCCTACATATTCAGAAAGTTGCAACATACGACTCGGGTTGTAAAAAAATCAATTTAACTTCAAACAAATTGTTCAGATATTACAATCCTTAATCATCGATAATTTTTCGACGCATTAGTATATTGTTGATTTGTCATAATATTTTTTTATTTTTTTTATGTACAATGCACCTAAAACACGGATTTTTTCCCCGCTAGGTGTCTCTGCCACGTGGAATCATTCAGAGCATCGAGAGCAGAAACACCTAGCGGTCAACTAATCGGTGGTTTAAGTGCATTGTATATAAAACAAACAAAAACATTATGAGCTATCAGCTATAAAAGAATGCTTCGAAAAATTATTGATGATTATAGGTTAAAATACCTGATTATTTGTTTGGAATTACATACATTTTTTACGATCCGAGTCGTTTGTTGCAACTTTCTGAATTTGTATGGACGCATATACGTTCTACGGCATGAGACGTTTTTAACAATATTCTCCTTTTAGACGCAACAGATAGAAATAAAATTAGTAGCGATCAAAAGCGATTACTTTTCGCCGTAGGCCTATACCCCCTTTCATTTTTCGCCAACAATCCCTTTAAGTAACCTTCCATGCAGATGGAATACCCAATTTAAAACCGATCCATTTAAATCTTTAACTGGTTATAGGCATAAACTGTGACTTTAAACATTAGTTTTCCTATTTCCCGGGAATATCATGGTTCAATTCCATTTTTTTTTAAATTTAATTGAAAATACTATTTTCTGCACCTTATAGAACTTAACAGAAATATTTCTTAAAGTTTCTGTAGATAAATAAGAATAAGTCCCTCGACCGTCATGCCATTGATCAGTCAAAGGTTAAAAGTATATTGTTTCAAATCGAACAAGCTCTACGCTACAAATGGAGGGTTACTTGAAATACCTTTAATTTAAATCTAAATGTGCTTTCATGCATCTCATTTTTAAATAAACTGACCACTTACTGGAACATTATAATTTATTGTATTACTAGGAATAGGATAAAGATAAAAGGTATAATAATCGATATATTTGCGATTGACTGAACACTTTTAATTTTTTTGTTTTCAGAAAAAAAATTTTGATTGAGAATTAGTAAACAGGATTTTTAGATAACTAAGATAACTTTTTGTTGGTAACTTTGTTTCTGAGTTTCATAAAAAAAATTGAGATACATTATTTTTATTGCATTCATCTTTTCTAGAATTGTTAAACTAGCTCGGGAACCCAGCTTTGCCCGGAGATTTCCATATTAAAGTCAACCCACTCAACTTTTTGATTTTAAACCGTGGTTCTACGGAGTTTCTCAACCGAAATTAGAGGCAAATCGGTCCAAGGATTTAAACTTTCAAAGTTATGATCGGATATCTAGACAATTAAACAAGCAAACGCCCTTCTATAGTATGTCGATATGCAAGAATATCTTGATCTTGACATAATGAAAATTTTAATTTTAAAAAGTTTTAGAAAATAGAAAATATTGTTTTCTATCTAGGCCGGACTTGGTGAAAATATCTACGACGAGGATGGTTGCTTTAATGTACAAGATTACTACACAGTGTACATGAAGATTACACATAAACAGGTAAATGTACTGTACTGCTGGAGTACGAATAATTACGAGGAAATCATCATGATTTGGGTTCTAATGGAGACACCCATGGACGTCTCGTTGGAAACCCCCAGATTCTCGTTGGAGACCCCCAGATTCTCGTTGGAGACCCCCAGATTTTTATTGCAGACCCCATATTTTACTTGGAAACCAGGATAATTTCGTTTGAGACCTTCATATTTTCATTTAAGACCCCTATATTTTCAATGTCTCTAATAACAATGTGGAACTCTCTCACAAAAATACGGGGTTCTGGGGGTCTTGAATGAAATAAATTTGGGGTCCCCAAAGAGAATCCAAAAAGAAATGTGCGGATTTAACGTTCTTTGAAAAACGAGTAATCGGTTTCAAATAAAGTGGCCGGAATTAATGGCATATGATTATAAAATTTGAGGTCCCCAACGAGAATCAAAAAAAAATGTGCGGATTTAACGTTCTTTGAAAAACGAGTGGTATATTTACATCTGAAAACGGTATGAATAAATCTTGAAATGAATATAAAATGGTTTTCAAATCCGATTAAATATATGAAAACTTTTTTCAATGAATTATTTAAAAACTTTTTTAAAATACCATTTAATTGCGATTGAAGTGGAAAGAAATAAATTTTTCTTTTCATAAAATATTTTTAAAATTACATTTTAAAAAGATACATTTTTTATAAGATTTGTTTGCTGCTTTCTAGACTACATATATAGAAGGAGAATGATTTGACTACATTAAACTACAACTTAAGAGAAACAGTATCAAGTGTCGAGAGTAAAATTATTTATTTATTCTTTCATATTTTCCAGTATCTGCTTGGTAACCCAGCTTTGTCTGGAAACTGAACTTTCTATAATCCTATTTAAGTCAACCAGTGCAAGTTGAAATATCAACACCAGATTTAGAATATTCCCGGGGCTCTACCGAGTTAACCAATCAAACTTTGACGCAAACCGGTCAAGGGTTTCCTGAGTTATGATTGGATATCCAACCAAACATCCTAAGAATAGATTTATTAACAATATCAGATAGGACACTAGATGTCGTATTTTCAAATATATGGGGTTTTGTTTACAATAACCCTGAGACAGAAGCCTAAAGGAGTTCCGCTAGAGGTAGTGTTAAATTACAAGACAGATAGAGAGCCTCTACTGCCTGCGCGGAACTCCTTTGGGCTTCTGCTTTAAGGTTATTGAGAACGAAAAACTCCTAAATCTTGAAAAGGCGACATTTATTGTACTTACTGTTATTGTTAATTAATCTTTGGCCATGAGAAAGTTAGCTTAAAATCTGTATATTGAAACATAATATTAAAAGCGTTATCATCCTTCTTTACTACTCGCAAACGGAATTAGTTACCATTGCGCAATAAAGTTAAACGAATTCCCCTAACATTTTAGTGACTGAGAAACCTGGCATATCATTATTATGCCTGATTTATGCCCCGCATCTTTTGTTGAAAATAATTAATGAATATTATTTATCTAGGTTTCCAAAATACTGTCTGTAATAATGATGGCGGCGGGAAGCATAGGGTTCATGGGTAATATACTCGCTATCTTTCTACTTTCAAGGTTAGTAGGTCTATCTATCTATCCATCTATCTAGATTTTTTTCTTCAATTTTGTTCAATATTTTGGTTAAAGAAATTTAGAAATTAAGTATTTTTAACAAAATTAAGTCTCTGTTGTTAGTAGGGTTGTTAATCGTTTTTGAAAACGATCGTTAAACGATCGTTTTATGTTTCATTTTTCAATCGTTTTCAAAAACTATAGTTTTATAGTTTTTGGAAAAAACGATCGGTTTTAAAAACGACCCACTCGTTTTGAAGTTTTAGAAAAAGAATCGCTAACGAAACGATCTTTTTTCAAAAAATGAAAACGTTACATCCCTAGTTGTGACCCATGGCTCAAGAGTATCATGAAGCACGTGATTAAGAAAATGGGGAAATTTCCTATTTTTAATCGTGACGAAATTGATGTAATTCTTAGATCATACAAATGTGACCAATGGTTTGACTTGCTTGCAAAATGTAAATGTAAATGCAAAAAAGTTCGCATATTTTAAACTTAACCAGGCCTCTTTATTCTTAAACTTGCAAAATAGAAATATGGTTAAAATAAATTACTTTGCAGTAGGTAAATATATTTTTTTTCATGGGGGGGGGGAGTAAAAATAGGCATAAAACGTGTAGAATTTTAAATTTTTTTGAAACTTTTCACCTCCAAGGTATTTTTTTTTCAAAACTTGAGAAAAGAATTTAAGAGGGTCTTGAAAGTTGATTTTTTACTTAAAATGTATATCCTGATTCCTACTTTGATTATAATTCTTTTTTTAGAAATCAGCCAACCGCCCACAAGGAGTTTGTGCATTAAGACATAAAAAATAAAGCGTTCAAATAAAAATTCGCAATCGTCGATGAGGTTCCGATCGATATAAAGCTCCCCAAAAAATAATTCAAAAAATTACATGTTTTATCTCATTTCTTGGAAATGTGTTTAATTCGTATTTGAAAGCGGATTTTGAAAGCACGAAATTTTTTACCGTTTTTTAGCCTTAGCTAATTCAATTTCTAATATTTTTAAAAATGGTTTTCGAATTTGAATTCAGCATTAAATTTTCAATAATATGACGAATAACAAGAAATATTGACGATTTTGACATTTTCTTATCGTCATATTTGTTTGGTCTTGATGAACGAACCCCCGTTGGCTCAGTTCCAATATTGATGATGCCTACTGTAAAGTGTATTATTGTGTATATGTATAGTACGTATAGTGTATGTGTATGGTAAATATGTATTCAATGTATATATATTTACAACGTATCTATATATATGTACATTTACAACTTATCTATATATATAAATATATATGCTTAAACTTATTTACTAACAAGTTAATTAAGTTTATTTGTCAACATTAAACAAGGTTATATGCTCAACCAACAAATACAATTTTATTTATATTATTTATCAATATATACAGGGTTAATCACAATTTTTAAAAATATATTATTCGAGGTTAATCACAATTTTTATAAATATATTAATACAAGGTTAATCACAATTTTTATAAATATATTTATGCAAGGTAAATCACAATTTTTATAAATATATTATTCGAGGTTAATCACAATTTTTATAAATATATTAATACAAGGTTAATCACAATTTTTATAAATATATTTATGCAAGGTAAATCACAATTTTTATAAATATATTAATACAAGGTTAATCACAATTTTTATAAATATATTTATACAGGGTTAATCACAATTTTATATATATATTTATTCAGGATTAATCACATTTTTATCAATATATTTATACAGGGTTAATCACAATTTTATCAATATACTTATGCAGGGTTAATCACAATTTTATAAATATATTCATACAGGTTTATTCACAATTTTTATCAATATATTTAAGTAGGGTAAATCACAATTTTATCAAAATATTTATGCAGGGTTAATCACAATTTTATCAATATATTTACACAGGGTTAATCACAATTTTATCAATATATTTTCACAGGGTTAATCACAATTTTATGAATATATTTATACAGGGTTAATCACAATTTTATCAATATATTTATGGAGGGTTAATCACAATTTTATTAACATATTTAAGCAGGGTTAATCACAATTTTATCAATTTATTTATGCAGGGTTAATCACAATTTTATAAATATATTCATACAGGGTTAATCACAATTTCATTAATATATATATATGCAGGGTAAATCACAATTTTATCAATATATATATGCAGGGTTAATCACAATTTTATAAATATATTTATACAGGGTTAATCACAATTTTTATCAATATATATACGCAGGGTTAATCACAATGTTATCAATATATTTATACAGGGTAAATCACAATGTTATCAATATATTTATGCAGGTTTAATCACAATTTTTATAAATATATTTATACAGGGTTAATCACAATTTTATCAATATATTTATGCAGGGTTAATTACAATTTTTTCAAGATATTTATCCTACAGGGTTAATCACAATTTTATCAATATATTTATGCAGGTTTAATCACAATTTTATCAATATATATATGCAGGGTTAATAACAATTTTATCAATATATATATATGCAGGGTAAATCACAATTTTATCAATATATTTATACAGGGTTAATCACAATTTTATCAATATATATATGCAGGGTTAATCACAACTTTATCAATATATTTATACAGGGTTAATCACAAATAATGAGATTTTAATGAAGACCAATAGTTCTTGAAATGTTATGATATTAAGGTGAAATTTTGTCTTCTGTAAGCATATTGTATCTATAATATATACTTTGCTTGTCTGGGTGTCTGTCTCCCTGCCTGTCTGTTTGTATCCAATAAACGTCAAAACGGCTGAACCGATTAGGCCAGTTGCTCAATGTACATTGTACATTGTACATTGTACGATGTGCATTATACGCTGTACAGTGTGCATTGTAAAGTGTGCATTGTACAGTGTACATTGTACAGTGTATATTGTACATTGTACAGTGTACATTGTACAGTTTACATTGTACAGTGTACATTGTACAGTGTACATTGTACAGTGTAAATTGTACAGTGTACATTTTACAATGTACATTGTACAGTGTTTGTTGTACCGTGTCCATTGTTCAGCGTACATTGTACAGTGTACATTGTACAGTGTCCATTGTACAGTGTATCCTTTACTGTATCCAGTGTATCTTGTGCATTGTACAGTATACTCTGTACAGCAAAACGTGTACCTTGTGCAGTGGAAAGTGTACACTGTGCCAAGCTCCTTACACAGTGCACCTTGTATTATTTTCCCTGACCATGTACACTGTATCCTGTACAGTACACCGTGTATCCTGTACTCTATGCAGTTTACAGTGTACCTTTTATTCTATAGCAAGGTGTTCATATTACTAAAATAATTATATAGCTCAAGATAAAAAGCATCATCTTTCTTTATACAGAATATCCTTTAGTTTTTCTTAACATTTATCTTCCTTTTTATCTTATTGAAAATAGGTATTATAATAGGACTTTTCTTTAACATATTGTACAGTTAGCTAAGGTAATATAATTTCTCAATTTCTGCAAGGGAAATGTGGAGTTTCATGTTGTTTAATTTTCAAGACAGAAATATAAAATTTTAAATTTAGTTTAAACGGAAATATTATGTTTCAGGACGGAAATGTGGAATTGCTTCAGCCAGATACTCATCTCAATGATTTGTTTCGACAGGTAAACATAGACCTTCCTTGTTTTTATGAAAATTAAAAAAACATTGAACAAAAATTCAATTTAGAATGATATTCACGCTTATTTTTATAAATCATTGATTTTTTTCTCGTTTTTTCAATGTAATTTTTTACTGGTTTTTATCGATTATTTTTTCAGCCTGCACATCATATTCTCCATCCTTGAAACTATCAGAAACAATTTTGAGGCATCTTATCCTGAACTCCTTCTTCAGGTCTTCCCTTACTTCCACTATCCACTACTCAGGTTAATAATCCCAACTATACTTCCACTATCCACTACTCAGGTTAATATTCACTACCATACTTCCACTATCCACTATTTAGGTTAATATTCACTACCATACTTCCACTATCCACTACTCAGGTTAATATTCACTACAATACTTCCACTATCTACTACTCAGGTTAATATTCACTACTATACTTCAGCTATCAACTACTCAGGTTAATATTTACTATCATACTTCCACTATCCACTTCTCTGGTTAATATTCACTACCATACTTCCACTATCCACTTCTCAGGTTAATATTCACTATCATACTTCCACTATCCACTACTTAGGATAATCCTTACAACCATACTTCCACTATCCACTACTCGGGATAATATTCACTACTATACTTCCACTATCCATTTCTACTTCCAATACTTCATATACGTTCACTATGATAAGTATGCATTAACTATTAAAGTGCTGCCAGGCCTTATATTTACCTTTCCAATCCGATTATACATTTTTATTAAGCTTGGATAAGATCGAAGACTTGAAAAAATTCACTTGATTTTCAATGTATTTAGCAACCTTTGTGTTTCTGATAATCCTAAATACAGTTTATAATTTTATATAGTGCGTCTTTTAATCGAAAAGAAGATTTCAGTTTTAACATTTACTTAATGTTTCTTAAGCTACTTATAGAAAATATTATAACCCATGGAACATTCTATTTTGGAAAATATATATTTTCATATCTACAAAATATAAGCAAACTGAAAAATATATTCGTAAATAAATATCTTACAATTAAAGCTATAATGGATATCTATCTTAGTTCTAATGAATAAGCAAGCCAACCCGTTACACATTGAGAGATGTAACTCCCCCCCCCCCCTTGGGTAACATATAATAGATCATTAATCCCTTAGATTAACCGTTTAGACCCAAAAGGCAGGAGGTAGTATTTGATCAGAGGAAAAATATTATATTGGTGGGCACAGACAGATGTATAACTGACCGGGAACGGGCAACACCGGGCACTTACGTCTTTACTTTATATATGACTGGCAAACATGACAGTTGAAAAGTTGTTATAATTTTATTTTATTTGTTACTAAACTAACAAGGTATTTAGTTATAATATATAAATTAAGTTCTGTTCTAACAATAAAGCTGAGTGTATTTATCAAAGAAAACAGTAACTTCGTAGGAGAAGGGGAATGGGGTAGGGGGGAGGAATGATATTATTTCCTCAAGGGGATTAATGTTTCCAAATTTATCTTAATATCTATATATATAAATTTGGTTTGTCTGTCTGTTTGTCTGGGTGTCTGTTTGTTTGTTTGAATCCAATAAAAGTCAAAACAGCTGAACCGATCGGGCCCAAATTTTTTGTGGGACATCACGTGACCACAGGGAAGTATTATGAATGATAAAAATTAAAAAAAATGTGTTTTAGATGTTTTTAATTTTGTAAAAAATTTAAATTCTTGAAAACCCGCGAAATTTTTTTTTTAAATCCGCAACATTTTTTTCTTCTTTGTTTTAAAATGTAAACAAAAAGAACATGTTCACAATTTAAAAAGAATATGGGCGCAAAGCGCCCTAAAAGCCTAGTATACATAGTATATATATGTGCTGACAGCTAGATAAGGAAAGTAAGAAAGAGCAGGATTGAAGTTAGTGAAGATCACCAATTAAGATATATTTTGAAACATTAATCCCCTAGAGGAAATAATATCATTTCTCCCCTCCCCCTCCCCTCTACCCCATTCTCCTTCTCCTAAGAAGATACTGTTTTCTTTGATAAATACACCTATCTTTATTGTTAGAACAGAACTTAACTTATATATTATAACTAAAACTAAATACTTGTATTGTTAGTTTAGCAAAAAATAAAAATAAAAATATAACAACTGTTCAATTATTATGTTTGCCAGTTATATTATCTATACTCGAGCTGTGCATCTCGTTTGCGGGTATTTTTGTTTGTCAATTATGATGCTATAAAGTTTTTTTAATTATAACTCGACATATTCAAAATACAAAATTGTTGTAAAAGATCAAATCATATCTATTTATGCAACTATCTTGTGTTGTCATGCGGGACAGCTGGATATACAAGTTTATTCAATTCAAGTTTCATCAAAATGTCCGATTTTTTATTAAAATCCGCGAAATAAAAAGAGAAACTTGCTCACCGGTATAAAATGTTACTTATTTGCCGCGGAACAAATCAGAAACTTTTTGTACCCACGATCATGAAATTGTGCGTTAAAACTAAAAACGCGTGATAAAAATTCTCTCAATTGAATAAAATTGTTTGTTATTCCCGAATATAAAACAATCTTTTTTATCATTTCGTGCTTAATTCTGATTAATCATTTGATGTATAATTTTTAAAGCTTTTACGGTAAGTTTTTCTTCCCTAAATATGAGAAAGCGATATGGCAATACTTTCAGATCGATCTAGAAATCATCAAGCTTAATCCTATCATTGTATTCACTAAAAGGAACACAATGATATTGTTCTAAAAGTGTTAATAAACCTTTATATATTTATATATAGGGTTACCCTCTGCGCCTCCATCTTCCTGCTGATAGGAACTGGAATAGAAAGATATCTGGCCGTGTGTAGACCACACCACTACCATTCGGTTAGTATAAAATAATTTTATAAATTTAAATTTAAATAAATCTTTAACAAATGATTAGAAGAGTAAATAAATTAGTGAACTCTATGGATTACTAGCTAGGGAACCCAGCTTTACCTGGAAACTATTTTTCTCGCCACTGAATATATTTTCCAAACACTAGAATAGTCCCATGATTCTACCGGATTCCCAAATCAAAATTTGAGGCAAATTGGTCAATTGGTCCATAAGTTATGATCGTACATACAAACAAACAAAAAGACAAAAACCAAAATAAACATCGATACTTTATTTATATGGATAATATATGTATTTATATATATCTAATTTTGACTACTGAGGATCGTCATAAGACGTGAAACATTATGTTTAGTATAATTTTTTTTTAATAAAGGAAATTATTTTTAAGAATGATTAAAGATTCCCAAGAAGTTGCTTCTCGTGTCTTTAATAAAATCTTAGAATTTTTATCTAAGGATTAACTTTTTTAACATTTTCTAATCATTTGATATTCTAATATTAAAACTATAAATAATTAACTATAATTTAACTATAGATTCTAATTAATTCAACGAATACTTTGAGTTTTCTCAAGAATAAATTAGAATGGTGAATCCTTGAAATTGCAGCAATTGAAATAACTTGGGGAAAAATTAGTCTCAAGCTAAAATACGACATGTCTTGAGATAAGTCGAGGATAACTTTTTTTAAGATTTAAATTGACAAAACTGAAAAAGTCTGGTTTAATTTTGAAGGGATTTATGATTATGTTCAAGAATAAATCGCGGCCAAAAGCCAAAGTTTTTATTTCAAAATTTTTAACTTGTAGTTTTTCGCTTGATTTTGTTCTAACGTAAAGTTTTGGTGAACAAACCATTAATGGTTTAATTCATTGAAACTAAATGTTTCTGTCAAAACCAGCTTGGTTTCTGTTAAAACTAGCTTGGTTACTGTTAAAACTAGCTTGGTTTCTGTTAAAACTAGCTTGCTATCTGTTAAAACTGGCTTGGTTTCTGTTAAAACTACCTTGGTATCTGTTAAAACTAGCTTGATTAATTATTACAATTAATCTTTTTTTTATTATCTATTGTCAATTTTATTTTTAAGGTTCAAGATCAGAGCCTGCGTTCCCTAAACTATATTCTACCAAGTATACTTGCGGCCATAGTAATAAATATACCCAGGTACTACATAATCTGTATTCTGTATTCTGCATCCTGTATCCTGTATTCTGTATTCTGTATTCTGTATTCAGTATTCTGTATTCTGTATTCTTTATTCAGTATTCTGTATTCTGTATTCTGTATTCTGTATTCTGTATTCTGTATTCTGTATTCTGTATTCTTTATTCTGTATTCTGTGTTCTGTATTCTGTATTCTGTATTCTGTATTATGTATTATGTATTCTGTATTCTTATTCTGTATTCTGTATTCTGTATTTTGTATTCTGTATTCTGTATTCTGTATTCAGTATTCTGTATTCTGTATTCTGTATTCTGTATTCTGTATTCTGTTTTCATTCTTATTCTGTATTCTGTATTCTGTATTTTGTATTCTGTATTCTGTATTCTGTATTCAGTATTCTGTATTCTGTATTCTGTATTCTGTATTCTGTATTCTGTTTTCTGTATTCTGTATTCTGTATTCTGTATTCTGTATTCTGTATTCTGTATTCTGTATTCTGTATTCTGTGTTCTGTATTCTGTATTCTGTATTTTGTATTCTGTATTCTGTATTCTGTATTCCAAGAGTTCGAAACTTTTTTTTCATTTTCTTTTTTACATTCAAATACAGGGTTACCCACACAGGATGAGTCTTTAATGACGATCTAAATCTGTATAGGTTTGTTGATCAAAAAATAAAACATTTCAATCTGTCTTGAACATAGTTTAACATTGGTTTACAAAATTAATGTGCAAAGCAAGAGAAAAATTTATAGCTGCATGCAGAGTTCAACTCAAGAAAAACACAAATTTCGCAAAGTTTCATGTTTACATTTTACTTGTTGTTATTTTTATATTATCAGCTACTTGAGGCAATAGAGTTATTGTTGAGCCTCTTGTGCTGATACACAAACATGTGTATTGTGAATCCATTGTATTATTTATTGAATTATTGACATGTTGTCACTGTATTATCTTCATGTTTACTGTGTATTCAATATTATGTATATTCTTTATGAACCGTCCAGCTATTTTTTTTTTGTTCCAAACCAAACCAAATAATCTTTAGTTAAACCAACCAAACCAAATAATCTGTAGTTAAACCAACCAAACCAAATAATCTGTAGTTAAACCAACCAAACCAAATAATCTTTAGTTAAACCAAACAAACCAAATATTCTGTATTTTAACCAACCAAACCAAATAATCTGTAGTTTAACCAACCAAACCAAATAATAATATTTTATCCAACCAAACCAAATAATCTTTATTTTATCCAACCAAACCAAATAATCTGTATTTTATCAAACCAAACCAAATAATCTTTATTCTATCTAACAAAACCAAATAATTTGTATTTTATCCAACCAAACCAAATAATCTGTATTTTATCTAACCAAACCAAATAATTTGTATTTTATCCAACCAAACCAAATAATCTGTATTTCATCTAACCAAACCAAATAATTTGTATTTTATCCAACCAAACCAAATAATCTGTATTTTATCCAACCAAACAAGATAATCTGTATTTTATCCAACCAAACCAAATAATAATATTTTATCCAACCAAACCAAATAATCTTATCATATCATTATCCAACCAAACAAGATAATCTGTATTTTATCCAACCGACCAAATATCTCATCTTGAACGGCTCAAGATATAAATTGAACGGAAATATAGAAAATAAAATTGAAAATAGAAATTGTGTAAAATCCAATATTTGCTTTTAGCATTTCACCTTTGATCCATTATACAGCTACAAAATATATTTGTAATAAATATATTTGTGATAAATATATCGACTGTTATAAAATAAAGAATATAACTCCGGGTTCAGAAAGGAATCAAAACATTCAGACATTGAAGAAACCATTTTGATATTGGTAAAGATAAAAAGAATTTAAATCAATTTAAATACTGTGGTAGGCGATTATATCAATATAATGAAGACGACATTTTTATATAAGTTTTATTTGTTAACAAGCTTTTTTCGAATAACAGGTTTACAAGTAATTAAAGAGAAGCTTTTCTAATTGAAAGCTTCTCTTTGTTTCCATGTTTTTGTGTATCCATGCTGTTTAAAAGCTTGATAAAAATCAAAATTTAAATCAAGAGTAGTCTTCATTATATCGATGTAATCGCCTACCACTGTATAAAAACATGTTTAAATATTGAGGGGAATTAGTTTTTTAATATCTTATTTTTTCCTTTAGGCTGTTTGATATTGAAGTTGTAACAAACTGCGTGGATCATACCAGCTGTGGGTGTGATCGGTCAGAGTGGTAAGTTGATGTTTATGTTGAAGACTTTGATGCTGTTGATGTTGATGTTGATGTTGATGTTGATGTTGAAGATTTTGATGTTGATGTTGATATTAAATATTTTGATGATGTTGATGTTGATGCTGATGTTGAAGATTGTGATGCTGTTGATCTTTAAGATTTTCATAAAATTGATATTGATGATCGTGATGCTGTTGATGATATTGATGTTGATGTTGAAGATTTCGATGATGATACTGTTGTTGTTGATTGTTGAAGATTCAACCCATGTTGATGTTGATGTTGATGTTGATGTTGATGTTTAGGATAAGTGTTCGGCCAACAAAGCTCCGAAAAAGCTGGAACTACACTGTATACTTCCATACCTGGACCTGGAACCTAGTAACTGGTAATCCTTTGGTTGGGATCAGTTTGGTTCAGTTTGGTTCAGTTTGTTTGAGTTTGGTTCAGTTTGGTTCAGTTTGGTTCAGTTTGTTTAAGTTGTTTCAGTTTGGTTTGCTTTGCTTTGGTTCAGTTTGGTTCAGTTTGATTTAGTTTGGTTTGGTTTGGTTCGGGTTTCATTTCTTCTTCTTTGGTTAGATTTCATATGGTTTTTGTTAGATTTTTGGTAATTAACTAATTTTTGCCCGGATGTTTAAATCTTAGAAATCGATGTTTTCTCATAGTGACACTTGTATCACTATTACATTGATCAGATATATAAATACTAGTATTTTTACAACTATTAGGAAAGTAAATACTAGTATCTATGTAATATATGCTGTTTGAATATATAAAATGCGTTATACGATGTCTAAGGATCTAACTGCGTTAATCCTTAACTACGTAAAACTTGCAATACGATTCTACTAGCTACGTAATGTAATTAGATTATATCCCTGGCGTAATATTGTGAAATATGTATTGGAACTTACATGTAACAGAGAGATTTAGAAATAGACATTAGTTTTAATCAGAACTCCACTTTGATTACAGTGGAGAGTAATTTGGTTTTGTTGAAACATATGAATTGAGATCATACCTTGTTATAGGGTAAAGGTCGATTAAGAACTGGATAAGTAGCCAATGCTTGCGTCTTTGTGTGGCATTTAGAGTTAGAGAAGGGCTGGATAAGTAGCCTATGCTTGTGTCCTTGTGTGGCATTTAGAGTCTGAGTGGTAGCTAGATTGATAACCTACGCTTGTGTCCCTCATTTAGAGCCAGGTAGGTTGTGTCCTGGTTGAATTGGATAGCATACTGGTTGTGCCTGGACTGATACAGTTTGTGGGACGAACTTTTAAGAGTACTGCATTTACTACATCTATACTAGGAACCAAAATACCACTATCTATACAACTATTAGGAACCTAAATACTAGTATCTATACAACTATTAGGAACCTAAACACTAGTATCTATAAATAACTATTAGGAACCTAAATACTAGTATCTCTATTAGTAACCTAAATACTACTATCTATACAGCTATTAGGAGCCTGTATACCACTATCTATACAACTATTAGGAATCTAAATACTAGTATCTATACAACTATTAGGAACCTATACACTAGTATCAATACAATTATTAGGAACCTAAATACTAGTATCAATACAACTATTAGGAACCTATACACTAGTATCAATACAACTATTAGGGACCTATATACTAGTATCAATACAATTATTAGGAACCTAAATACTAGTATCTATACAATTATTAGGAACCTAAATACTAGTATCTATACAATTATTAGGAACCTATATACTAGTATCAATACAATTATTAGGAACCTAAATACTAGTATCAATACAACTATTAGGAAAACCCCACTCAACCTCAAAGAATCCAGAATAGCCATACCATGGTATAGTTTGCGTCTTTTGAAGTTTAAAGATATTAGTATTCAGGTTTTCAACCTGTATTCTTTCAGCCAACATATTTAATTTCTTTTCCTTCAAGGAAAAATGTCTCTTTTACAAGAACGTGTTCTATACCAGTACGTTATTATCTTTTATGTAAAATTATTTTTAGATACATGGGTTCTCATTAAATAAGGAATAAATCGACAACCTTATAACTAAAATTTTGTTTTCAAGCTTTTAACATACCGTTAATTCTAAACTTTCTCAAACTTAAAATAGATATTTTTTTTTCAAGCTTTCTAAAGTAATTGATTCTAAATTTGAATCATTTAATTCACATGAATTCTAACCTTTTTCAAGTTTTTGATAGACATTAATTCAAACCTTTTTTAATACTTTTAATAGACCTGAGGCCGAATTTAAAGAATTTGAGCTGCGGTTTAAATTTAAGCCGCGGCTCATTCATTAAATTCGGACACTGACATTTAACCTTTTTTAAGATTGCAATTTCAAAGAAGAAATCAATGCTTATGGCTGCAGGGTTACCCCTCTAGAATGAGACTGTAAGAAAGACATGAAACTAATTTAAGGCTCAACAAGATCTTCTGTCTTAACTATAGTCGTTTAATGGAATATTTGATGATTTGGCCCAAAAGGAATCAAGTTGAGAGTTGCCGGAGAACATGATTATTAGGAAACAGACAGTATACTTGCCGTACAGTCGTCTCTGAAGTCTCATCCTTTGTGGGTAACAATGTATACTGTATATCTTTGTTTTCCTGCAAAGCAAAGTGTACTGCAGTATCTCGGAGAAATATAAACAAACTCAGTGATGCTCAGAAAATAGCAGTACAATTTTATGTAAACAATATATGGTAGTTCTTGGTGAATCTTAATTGTATTGTATTGTACAAATGTACATAAGGGTTTTTCCACAAAGGATGCGTCGGTAAAGACGACCTGAAACTCTTTACATATGACGATTCCAAGGTTCTTTTTTTTTAAATATATAGTCTTTTAATGGCTTAAATTATAAATGGGCAAAGAAAGAAACAAAGTTACAGTTGCAGGGATCATGAATATAAATTCCGTACAGTCGTCTTTGAAGTCTTATTCTTTGTGTGTCACCCTGTATGAAATGTATATAGTAGGCTCAGAATTCTCATCACTATGGAGAACTGCTGTTGATGTATCTTATATATATACATATCAACTATTATTTCCAATCAGCTTAATATAATCCTGATCGTCTTATCTTGTCTATTGTACATATACCTCAGAGCCAGTTCTCTCCATAATAATGTTTGAACAGTGGTCGTGAAGTTCACGTACTTTAGGGGACGATAGTTTGGCCGCCAGATGTCTCACGTAAAATTCTTATCTGATAGATAGATAATTCATACGAGAGACATCTGGCGGCCAAACTATCGTCCCCTAAAGTACGTGAACTACACGACCACTATCTATAGAGAGAACGAACTCAGTTCTATAAATACAGGGATACCCACAAAACATGAGACTTTAAGGACAAATAAATAAGACTGAATGAATTCTGTTCAGTCGTCTTTGAAGTTTCATTCTTTGTGGAAAACGTTGTTTAAACAAATAAAAATACAAGAATTAAAGGAATATATGTACAAAAACCTTAAACTAAAATTTAACCAAAAGTTATAAAGTACATCTTTGCGCACATTTCAAACATTCAGGGTTCTTTCTGTATCTTCCTTGCTAAGAGTATACTTTACTCTTGGTGAAATCTCTTGAATTTATTAAGTTGATTAACTTCTACAGAATCTACCTTTTACACTTTTCATCAAATTTAGTTCAAAATTAGGGGAAATTTTCTCAAAGTTTAAAATATTAGGAAAGTTTTCAAAAAGTTGTCGCAATGTTAGTAAACGTATAGATGTCCTTGATCAGACAAGCGATAAAGGAGATAAAAACTGAACCGTTTAAGGTCAAAAAAGATACAATTATTTTGAAGATTATTAAGTATTACCAAATACAAGTACAAGTACAATAGGTGGCAATATGTGATTTAAAAGAAATTATGCATTAAGTCAAATGTTCCCTTATTTAAGTAAAGCGGCGCGTTGAAAAACAAAATCTATAAAAACAACTAAAACTGCAAGAATGTCATCACAAACTTAATCAAAGTAGTCTAAAGCATTTGGTTTTAGAAAAAGAAATGTTTAAAGTGATTGTAACCGTGATTTCATGCATGTATTGATATAGATCTATGACATTGGGTTGCGAAGATATAGGGATAAAAAAACAGGGTTTGTGCACACAATAAAGTACATTCTTGAGAAATATGTTTTACATTGAATCACAATGATTCGTTAAATATGAGATTTAAAAAGTCGTCTTTACTTAGTCTAATGGTATTATACAGTTTCGATGTTTAATTGTCCTCTAATAAAAATGAGTTAAACCATTTATTTGATATCTTCACGAACATGAGATTTTCAGGCTCCTCTGTTTAATACTACAACTTTTATACGAAATTGCATATGTATGAATTTTCATATAAATTTGACACAGTTTTATATCAATTTCTCGAGACAGGAACATCAGATAGATGTCTTATATATATCGTTCCACGCCTGAGATTCTCAGGTTTCATTCTATAACCCCGTTTATTTGTCCTTTACAGTCCCTTTAGATTCTCGATTATCAATGAATTTATTAATTTTTTTCTTATGTTTATATGAAGGCGTAATTTAAACTTACGAAAAAAACATTCTGAAATTTTTAAAAAATCCTTAATCACTAAGGGAGGTCGATTTAAAAAAATGTTCGAAACACATAGATATGTGTTTTTTAAATTGCGCCTGAACCAATGATCATTGCCAATCATATGGTTTTTTTGAAATTTTGAAAATTGTTTGATCCAGGGCCAAAATCTAATTTTTTTGTTGCAAATTATCTATATAATTTTTAACAGATTTTCATGATGTTAACATTTTTCAATTCACCTTTTTAAGACGGATTTTTGGTACCCATATCAACATATTTTGAAAAAAAAAAATTTTCATGCTCCTTGATCTAACCTTTTTATGATCCTTGATCCTGCATGTTCATGCTCCTAGATCTAACCTGTTCAGTGTTCATGCTCCTTTATCAAACTGTTCATGGTCCTTGATCTAACCTGTTCATGATCCTTGATCTAACCTTTTTATGATCCTTGATCTAACCTGTTCATGCTCCTTGATTTTACCTGTTCATGATCCTTGATCTAACCTGTTCATGATTCTTGATCTAGCCTGTTCATGCTCCTTGATATAACCTTTTTATGATCCTTTATCCAGCCTGTTCATGCTCCTTGATCTAACCTGTTCATGCTCCTATATCTGACCTGTTCATGATCCTTGATCTAGCCTGTTCATGCTCATTGATCTAACCCGTTCATGCTCCTTGATCTAACCTGTTCATGATCCTTGATTTAACCTATCATGATCCTTGATCTAACGTATCATGCTTCTTGATCTTACCTTTTCATGATCCTTGATCTAACCTGTTCATGGACCTTGATCTAGCCTGTTCATTATGCTTGATTTAACCTGTTCATGATCCTTGATCTAGCCTGTTTATGATCCTTGATCTAACCTGTTCATGGTCCTTGATCTAACCTGTTCATGCTCCTTGATCTAACCTTTTTATGATCCTTGATCTAGCCTGTTCATGCTCCTTGATCTAACCTGTTCATGATCCTTGATTTAACCTATCATGCTCCTTGATCTAACCTTTTTATGATCCTTGATCTAACCTGTTCATTCTCCTTGATCTAACCTGTTCATGCTCCTTGACCTAACCTGTTCATGATCCTTGATCTGACTTGTTCATGATCCTTGATCTAACCTGTTCATGATCCTTGACCTAACCGTTCATGCTCCTTGATCTAACCTGTTCATGCTTCTTGACCTAACCTGTTCATGATCCTTGATCTAACCTGTTCATGCTCCTTGATCTAGGAGGAAAGGACCAGGTAGAGTCCGCCAACAAGAGGGAGAAAAGGATGAACCAGCAGAAGAAGGATCTCAGCATGGCAGTTATCCTCATCTCTACAATCATCATGTTCTTCGCCTTCCACACCCCCAGGTAGTCTTCCACACCCCCAGGTAATCTTCCATACCCCTAGGTAGTCTTCCATTTTCTTGTTATAATGTTTGTCCTATATACAGGCTATGAAAGTAAAGAAGTGCAAGAATTGAAAAAAAGTTTTATTTTACTTTTTAAATATATATATATACTAGCTTTAGAGGGCGCTTCGCGCCCATCTTCTAAATTAACTGTGAACATGTTCTCTTTGTGTACATCGTAAAACAAAACAAAAATAATTCGCGGATTTTCAAAAAAAATTTCGTGAATTTTCAAAATTTTCAAAAATTTACTGAAAATCGAATTTTGATGTCCCACAAAAAATTTGGGCCCGATCGGTTCAGCCGTTTTCACGTTTATTGGATACAAAAAGACAGACAAACAAACAGACAGACAAGCCAAATTTATATATAGATGAAATGAATTTAAAGTGTTGGGAAGTTTTCTATAAGCTTTTCATCGAAATTAAGTTTTATCACTAAAACACACTCCTGGCTTAAAGTTTTAATCTACAACTTATGAAAACTAATCTTAAATCTACTTTTCTAAATTATTATCATATCTACAAAAGTCAATACTCTACAATTTGTATACTATTTTTCACTGAACAATGATTTAAACACAAAACAGAGACTAGAATAGAAAGGAAATAACACTTTCCCTCTGTATGAATTTGTTCAGTCCCTTTGAATCTGAAAAGGAGTTCAAAGTGTACACTCCATAATAATGTTCACAAGTAATACGAAGTTCATCACAATAATACAGAGCCCGAAATTTAAAAGAGTATCGTTGAACGAAACTCCCGAGTTTCCTTCTTGGGGTTTTAACATTTTGTAGATTTTGATTTAAGAGATTCGACAAAAATGGAGAATATGAAGAAATTAAATAAAAAAATATTTAAAACATAAATATTGATATCCACCAAACTGCCTAACCCCGTTTGTGAAACCCGGGTTTCAAAACTGGTTTTCATATCGATACCCTGTCTTAAGTTTTGGGCTCAGAGCCCAAAATTTAAAAGAGTATTGTTGAACGAAACTCCCAAGTTTCCATTTTGGGGTCTTAACATTTGCGTAGATTTTGATTTAAGAGGTTCTAAAAAAATGGAAAATATGAAGAAAATCAATAAAATAATATTTCATAACAAAAAGATTGATATCCACAAAACTGCCTAACCCCATTCGTGAAACCCGGGTTTTAAAACTGGTTTTCATAATGATACCCTGTCTTAAGTTTTGGGCTCAATATGATCCCTGTACATATCCGCCACAATTTTTTCTTTTTTAAAGTTTATGCTGAAATGAACTCGGGAATGTAAAGTAAAAGAAATGAGTTCGGGAATGGATGACAGGTTGTCAGAGAATTGATTCAGAGAAAATGAAATAATTTTCAAGAAGATTTTTTTCCACAAAATGTTTCAGGGCCCATAAGGTTATATAGCACATTTGTGTGAAGTACACCTTCAGTATGGAAACAGTACAACCAAATGGCGGTTTTATACTTTTTGGACTTAATTCCACTGTATCTATTCTCTTTTGATTTAAAACAGCTATTTAGGGAGAGTAAAATATAAGGAAAATTTTTAAAATGTGATGAAAGAAAGAGACACAATTTAATTAAATCAGAGAAATTTGTACCGGCCCAGCCCTATCCATGTACTATGTTCAGATTACATAATTACTGTACAGATTGCGGTACTCCGTTATCTACAGGGTGTCCCATAAAAAGGCCGTAAAGGTAGCTAGAGCCTTAGTTTTGGACCAATGCTTATATTTTTGTTTAATTTTTAGGATTTTGACTAGTGTGTATGAAGCAAGTACAATCCAAGATGTACTGTACTGCAGAGGGAAGGAGAAGGAATATAGAGGTAATAAACAACCAGAGATTGGTCCTTTCTTTCAGTTGACGCTAATCTACCATGTCTTAACTATATATCTACAATCATCTTTGTTTATCTATATAACGTTGAGCTTTATCTATATGTATATGGTTTATAAAATGTAGGGCTGGGCACGTTCCAACTTTTTCAAGCTGCTTCGTTAACGGTTTGTTCCAACCGCTTTTGAAATTAAATTAGTTTAAGATCTGAACTTTATTAATGGCGTTAACGGAACATTTTCAAGAACCGTTACGGGCTCCAGTCGTTAATGGTACTGTTATTACGTTAATGGCATGAAACACCAAAAAATATGTTGTTGACCGTTTATGAAATCATTAAGGGCACAACTGTTAATGGTCTATTACAGTATTAAAGCGAAAAAACGGTTTATGAAATCATTAATGATGGTGAGCACAGAAGACGACATTTAAAAGCGTCAAAACATGTAAAAATAATCTTTTTTACAAGTTTCATGCAATTTTAAGCGGAAAAAAACCCAAAATTCGCCGTTAATCCGTTTGTTTAGGATTTGAAAATTAACTATTTTTGCCATTTGTTAAATGTTAATTTTCAAAAACCACCGTTTCTTCAACTTTGCCCAGTCCTAATATGGTTAGGCACATTCTAACTTTATCTAGCTGTTTCGTTAACGGTTAGTTCCAACCTTTAAAAAAGAAAAAAATTCAGGTAGCCGTTAATTTTAAAGGTGAGAAAGAAACGTTTGTTTCGTAAATAGCATTTATCGTTTTTTTTTTAAATTACTGTTAGTTAACAATCTCAATTTTATTAACAACGTTAAGGGAAAATTTTCACCAATCGTTAAGGGCTCCAATCATTATAAATGGTGCGAAGTGCCGAAAAAAAAAATTCTTTAATGGTTAAAATATCGTTAACAACCACTGTTAACAGTCTATTTCAGTATTAACGACTCAAAGCACTAAAAAACATTTGTTAATGGTTATAATTTGTTAATGGCACAGCTGTTTATGGTCGTTAGTAGTATTAACGGCGTTAAGTTTAATACAATTTTAGCCTGAAAAAATTTACCATTTAAAATAAATCCTTTTTCGTTTTCGACCATATTTATTTTGAAAAACTGCTAATCCGTTTCGTTAACGGTTTAAAAATTACCGGTTTTACCTGTTCGGTAACCAACCCTTCTGTTAACTTTCGGAAACCTCCGTTCCATTTATGGAATTTTTTACAGCCCTAGCACAGCATTATAGTCTGAAATTTGCTTAAACATTATTCCAACTTCAAAGAGAATATGGAAATTTGAAACACAATATTTTCTTTCAGTCTGTAAGAACCATACATTGACTTAAAAAACTGCAAATAGTTTTTAAACAACATGCTAAATTTTAGCATGTTATAGGGGCAAAATATACCACTAAAATCATGCTAGATTTAGGAACCATAGGGACCCGAGATAATACAAAAAACGTGCTAGATTTAAGCACCTTAGAACTAGAGATACCAATTAAAACGGACGAGATTTAAGCTCCCAAGGGATCAGAGCTTTTACTAAAACGTGCTATATTTTAGTGCGTCCCCAAATAAAACGTTCTAGATTTTAGTGCGCCACTAAATAAAACGTGCTAGATTTTAGTGCGCCACTAAATAAAACGTGCTAGATTTTAGCATGTCATGGATCAGAGATATTACTTGAAACATACTTGAGTTTAGTTCATTAATACCAGAGATATATTTTATTTTATTCTTATAAATTGTGGCCTTGCTCGTGGAATCAATCGTAAATTAGAAAATATAAAACTTCTAATAACAAAGTGAAAGGCATAGAGTCTATGTGAAATGATCATTGGTCAATTATGAAACCAGCCTATTTCATAATTTGGTTTTCTTTTAATATTGATTTTAGATTTTCTATAAAATGATGTTCCAGGGCCTAAAAGGTAATATAGCGCAAATATGTGAAGTACACCTGCAGTATGGAAACAGTACATCAAAATGGCTGTTTTGCACTTTTTTCTAGTAAATTCCACTCTAATATATATATTCTATTCTCTATGGGTATAGTATAGAATATCATAGGAGACTGTAGAGGTAAGTTCAATTGACCCTTAAAATGTTCGAAACACAAAAGTCCTCGAAGACGATCCACTGTTCAAATGGTCCGGTGGTCACTTAAAATGACATCAATTGTCCTTTAACGAAAAGATAAGGCTGGGATATTTTAAGAGATTTTAGATTTTTTTATATATCAATCATATTTTTCCCTCTAACTAGTTTTATGTTAAATTAATTTAAATACATAATCCAGGTATTTGGTATCTATACATCCAGCTAGTAGTCCAGCTTATGATGCTGGTCAACTGCTCTATAAATCTTCCTGTATACCTTTTAGTCTCAACACCGTTCAGGTATATCATAGTCACAAAATATAAATAACTAGTTGAAGTTTTTGTTTAGCCATGTAACTCCCCGCCCCCCGGGCACCCATGGTTTCCCTCAAAAAATGTCAGCCCATTCGGTACAGCCGTTTGGCCAGCTATAACTAACATATAAATGTATAGGAGCAAAGTGCTTTTATATATAGTTTATACATAATAATAATGATAATAATAATAATCATTTAAAATTAACAGTAATAATACTAATAAAACTAAAATAAAAATAATAATTAAATAATGATAATAATAATAATAATAAAACTACATTACATGATATTATATATTCTACTTATGTACAGGACTACCTGTAAAAAGTACAGTACATGATATTATATATTCTACTAATGTTCAGGACTACCTGTTAAAAGTACATTACATGATATTATATATTCTACTAATGTTCAGGACTACCTGTAAAAAGTACAGTACATGATATTATATATTCTATTACAGGACTACCTGTAGAAAGTACAGTACATGATATTATATGTTCTACTAATGTACAGGACTATCTGTAGAAAGTACAGTACATGATATTATATGTTCTACTAATGTACAGGACTACCTGTAGAAAGTACAGTACATGATATTATATATTCTACTAATGTTCAGGACTACCTGTAAAAAGTACAGTACATGATATTATATATTCTACTAATGTTCAGGACTACCTGTAGAAAGTACAGTACATGATATTATATATTCTACTAAAGCACAGGACTACCTGTAAAAAGTACAGTACATGATATTATATATTCTATTACAGGACTACCTGTAGAAAGTACATTACATGATATTATATATTCTACTAAAGTACAGGACTACCTGTAAAAAGTACAGTACATGATATTATATATTCTACTAATGTACAGGACTACCTGTAAAAAGTACAGTACATGATATTATATATTCTATTACAGGACTACCTGTAGAAAGTACATTACATGATATTATATATTCTACTAAAGTACAGGACTACCTGTAGAAAGTACAGTACATGATATTATATATTCTATTACAGGACTACCTGTAGAAACTACAGTACATGATATTATATATTCTATTACAGGACTACCTGTAGAAAGTACCTACTCTGCTGGTTTACGAAGGAATCTAATGGTAACAATTTATAAATTAAAAAAGTTGGGGGGAAAATATACAGACTCAAATGTGCTGCAATTCTGCTTATATCTTTAAACTGGTGCTAAAACCCCTCCTCTCAGAAACCTCCCTTGACCAAGGCTGCTTTGCATTTGGTTTTATTTGGATTAAATTAATCAAATGCGTGCCTGTTTACAACTTTTTAGTTCCTTAAATTGTACTAAAATGTCTGTTCATTTGTACTATAGTCCTTTTGGACGTTGGTCCAGAGCACATCAGTCCAAACGAACAATATTAGCAATCGATCATTACTTCATTAGTCCTTTTGATATGACTCCGCAGTTCTATTTTATTTTCATACTTCAGCGCATGGAATCAAAAATGCTGCGTTTGCTTGGACTTATAAGATTGTTTAGGAAGACGACCAGGAGATGACGGAAATGATAGAGCTGTAATGCAGCAACTGTTACACAAGGAGCAAAACTGAAGTAAAGATAACAAATAATATTGAAGAATGTAAAGATCTTATATCTTTAATTTATACTCTATGTGAAAAGAAAAAAACGTAAAGAATTACTGTTTTATGAAGAAAAACGATTTTTCTGACTTGTTATAGTTATATATTAGTTTCTGTTTGAGTTTATTAGAAGATTGATATTGTTCTTTGTCTCTATAATGAAGAAAAACTGTATTGATGTCATTCACACAAACTTCACGTCCTTTTAATAGAATTTTTCTGATATTGTTAACAATTTACACAAAGCAACAATAGGGTCAGTTTGTAGTACCCTAGTCTAAAACTAAAGAACGAAAAGTTTTGACTTAAATTTTAAGTTCATGGTTAAATGCCACTTCTGACTTAATTTAAACCTGAACTTTAACCGTGAGGTTAAATATTTAACCCTGTGGTTAAATATTTAACTCGCCGAAATCGACGAGTTAAAATTTAAACAGAGGTTTAAATTATCTTGAAATCCTGCATTTTCCCTATTTGTCTATTATTCAATCATCATTCAGCTGCAGCTGAGAAAGCGGCATTCAACTTTACGATACATTTAAAAGTGAAAACCTTGTTAAAGAAACTTCACGTTTTAGATAAATTAATTTTTGGATGTAAACCCAAAAAACGGTTGTATGTTTTGTTTTCGGTTACGTAAGAACAGCTGATTAGCGATGGTTATGTAATATTCTCCGTAAATCCTTTTCTCTGATTGGTTCAGATTTTCCCGGGAAATTCAAATTTAAAATTGAGAAAGTTTAATATTTAAGTAGCTATTCATTATTTTACAGAACTTTTAACCTCGAACTTAAAATTCGCGCATTCTTTAGTTTTAGACTCCTGTATTCTAAATGACGAAATCAAAAAGTTGGATAGCTGCCAAATAAGCGACAAAAAATCGCTTGTATGCCAAAAAAAAATCACTTATTTAGCAGCACAAATAAGCAATTTTTGTTCAATATATTTGCGATATTATAAATTTGCACCCCCCCCCCCTTCACGCCCAATCTTAATTTACAACGTCTACAAAAATGTCTTAAAGGAATTTAGTTTTTGTTACAAACTCAAATTTTCCTATCCATATATCTTTGCAACCCAATGTCTTAGTCCACTCCTTAGACCTTTGACATTATAAAACATGAATGCCAATATATTAAATAATCTAAGTGTGTTATATCAAAAGTTTACACCACCAGGTTGCAGAGATAAAGGATTCGACATTTTAAGTTTGTTGATATAACGAAACTGTGTTCACCATTGTTTCTGAGTCAAAGGTTATAAAATCGTCTTGATAATTGTAATTATGTATGTAAAGGCTGGCCGAATAACAAACTTAGATTTTAAATCTTTAAATTCAAAAATAGATGTTAGGTACTTTCCCAAAGGAAATTTCTGAAGTGGCAACTTTCCAAGGGTATTTTCCCAAGTGGAAACATCCCAAATGTGCAATTTCCCAAGTCTGTCCTAGCCGCAGCACTCGGCCTCCATCATGTTCTAGGCCCGGCGCTCGGCGCCCTGGTCCATCCTAGCCGCAGAGCTCGGCCCCCCATTGCAGCCTGATTGATTGATTATCGTTTATTTCTTTATGCCTTTTTACTGGCACCTTAAATATTTTTACCCTGATGCGGCGCCTCATAGGGCCTAACCTAACCTTTGGGAAGTTGCCGCTTGTGTAATTAAACATTTGGAAAGCTGCCACTTAGGAAATTATTCCTTTGGAAGTGTCCCGTCGAAAAATGTCTTTGGGAAAGTACCATAACATCTAAAAATATTTTGAATTCAATTCCTAATAACTGAAGAGTGTTCCCCAGTATTTCATTAATGTCCCCAAAACTACTGCACAAGGTTGTAAAAGCAAATGTGTAGGAAGTTATTACAGTTTTATTGTGTAATGCTGCAAACAGTTTACTCAGAAATATGGAGTAGAAAACACATTTTCATCTAATGAAAAATACGGAGAAAACAAACATAATGTCAACAATCTGTGTTTGCATCCAAAGAACACAATTCATCATGTAAATTGTAAATGTATGTAATGTATAATATGTTATAACAAATTAGCCTAAAAACAGTGAAACTGCACAACTTGAGTTAAAAATGTTTTTAAAGGTGAAGAAACCCCAATTGAACTTGAGTCCAACTGCGAACTATTCTTTTCTAAAAATGATATGGTTATATTTATAATGTACATTGTACATTACTTATTGTATCAAATTACAACAAGAGTGATTAACTTCTCAAAGTGGAATGATATAGACTATCAAGTAAAATCCCAAGCTGGAAAAGTGAACCACAATCTAACAATAACGATTAGATGGAGAGATAAAAACTAAGTCAACCAGAGTCATAAATTTTCTAATTCCCGGCGAAAATGTTAAGTTTGAAGGGATAAGTTGCTTAATCCGTGAAAAACAACTGACTCTTATATTCACGATCTGTTTCTGACGACAGCAGATTGTATGGCTTCTAATTTGTCGAATATCTTTAGGGATATTAAAAATAATTACCTAATCCGTCGGACTTCAACAGACATGAATTATTACTTTCTCAAGTGATTAACTATTTAAAAGTTACGGCTTCAAGTTTAAGTTCATTGTATATAGTATACATTATCTTATTATCACTTGATTACTATCTGTAAAGTAATATAATATCTTCATTTTCTGTTGAAAGTAAACTTTCAACAATTTCTAAAAAATCTTTAATAAAATCTTATTGAAAAAATTGTAAATGTGATATCACATCCGCTTTTGTTAACAAAATTGTAATATTTAAGATTATTTTTTAATTTAAAAAATATTTTAAAATTCATAAATCATATTTTGAGTAAATTAGACATTGTTGGTGAAAAATACAAAACCATTTTTCCAAACACTGTTTTTTAACCAACCAAGGGTTAACTCATTAAACCGAGTTTTTTAATACTGCAATAGATGTTTAAGTTACCCGGCCCATGCCTTTTAAATTTTTGTTATATAGAACTTCCTTTTTAAAACTTCATTATTCTGATTGGTTTTTGTATATTCTTTGAACCTTAACTTATTGTTACCAAATTTTAAATGGTCATGAAACCATTTATCAATTAAATCCTTGGTCTATATTTATCCAAATTTTTATTACATTTTGTAATGTGTACTTCAAACAATACTTGGTGTAAATTCTAAAATTAAGACTGATTCTATTGTTTCTTGTTTAAATGTTATTCAGGGACTGTTAGATATACACTTGGCTAACTTTGCTGAACAGCGTGCAAAAGATAAGATTTAAAGGGACCGTTCACATTTTGCTGAACAGCGTGCAAAAGATAAGATTTAAAGGGACCGTTCACATTTTTTGGAATTTAAAGGGACCGTTCACATTTTTTTGGAATAAATTGTAAAACTGTTCTGAAATGTGCTAAGTGTACTATTTGTATGTCAATTCGATGGATTTTGATGAAGAGTATTTAATATAAACCCATCGGAAACGGATCTGGGAAACAATCTGCTAGAATTGACAGAGATAGTACGAACATTACGTTAAACACAAGCCATATTCGCTTATATATATATATATATATATATATTCAACACTTATACTATAAAGGGATTGTGTATTTGCAACAGACTCAAATATGCCTTCATCTTAGCAAACTGTTGGTGTAAACTGTAAAGCTTTGATATTTCAAACTTAGAACATTTAATCCACCATATTTTATAAATTGAAATATCTAAGGTCGACGACATTGGGTTGCTAAGATATAGGGATCTGAAGATCAGAGTTTCTGGCAAAAACTCAATTCCTTACAAAATAAGTGTATTATAGATTAGTATGTTGTATTTTGTGAATTTCAAGTATCATGTTCAACAATAGAAACCAGGAAACAGTATCTAGGCGTATTTTTTTCTATAAAATTTAAAAATGTTGCAAATAATTTGGTTGAAAGTGAACTATTTATAAAACTATGTCCTTAACATTGTTTTATAACAAATAATAAATTACGACATCCTTTTGCGACATTCATTGAGTAAAAAAAGAAGTGACGACATTATTCACTGTTTTCTAATTTTCAATTCTTTAAGAAATTGAAAACGTTCAATTAATAGAATTTCTAAAAAAAATCACGCAAATAGAGCAGAAAATCTAGAAGAAATATTTCACATAAAAAAATTGTGAATTTGTAAATTGAACCATTATTTTGTAATAACAATATAATAACGATCAACGTATTTAATTACAAATGTTAACGAAACCAAATATTAGATAAAAAGGGGAAATATTAGAATTGTGAATTATCTGTCGTAAATTATAACTTATCCATGTTGATATCTGTAGATATGTGTTCATTTCTGTATTGTCCAATTTCCAGCAATTACTTACATGGTCCATCCCTCTTGAAAATATATTTTTAAATTTTAGAAATTCGTCCAAATAAGCAGAACTGGCTAATTATTTTTAATATCGTATAAACTGTTAATTTCGTAAAAAAGAGTTTCTTTACATTGAGTTGTCAAAAACAGGATACCTGTTCACAATTTACTTCCTTTTAAAGTTTCAAATTATTATTTTAAAACTTTTCCCCAAATATTTTTTGTAATATGTAAAGATAAATGTTAGGTAAACACATATTAAGATGTTTTATAGTTGAGAAATTAAAATTGAATTTAAAATAATTTTTTTCAAAATTTATAAATTCTATATTTATGTTGTTTTTGTGCAAACTGGTGAATGTGAAATATCCATAAAAAGAATATTTTCCAACTAACTTTAATCTGTTAAATTGCATTGGCACTTTTAAGTTATGGAAAATTATAACAATTGGGAATATGGGATTGAGTTTTTGTCACAATATACTGATTTTAAAATCCCTATATCTTTGTAATCTGATGTTGCAGACCTTTAATTTTTTCAAAATATAAATACTGTTTGATCACCTTATATATGTTTGAAATATCAAAGGTTTACACCATCAGAATATAGGGATTAAAGATGTATTTGATTTTGAGGCAAAAACGCAGTTTCTTTTTGTGAAAATGTTTTTAAGACCAGTTTTTTTTCTCTCCAGTATTTGCT